TTTTTTTTTTTTGGATTTATTGTGGAGATGAGGTCTCGCCTGCCCAGGTGGGTTTCGAACCCACGGCCTCAGGCAATCCACTCACCTCAGCTTCCCAAAGGTGCGGGATTACAGGCTGAGCCACCTAGCCCGGTTGTCAAAGACCATTTAAAAAAATTTTCAGCTCATTGCTGACTGACTGATGACTTTGGTAAAATATAATTAAAATGTTATGGTAATGTAAAATTGGTAAGTACATTTCTCAACAACCTCATTTTCTGAACTTATCTCATTGTAGATACTGTCCTGTGGACCACATTTGAAGTGACAGGTTTAAGTAACCTTTTTTAAAAATAATAAGCCCCAGAGAGCAGACTGCCTGTGATATCCCATTTTAGTTATCAACTGGCATAAAAATCTGTGCCATTCAGTTGGAAGGGAACTGAAAAATTTCAGTGTGGCTTGCTCTGTAATCCTCAAGATGTTGGTGCTGAAAAAAATCACGGAATACAAAAACTGTGCTAGAATGGAGGCATTTTACAGTTTTCCAGTAAACTTGTACATTGTGCTTAAATACTGACACACACAGTTTAAATTTGTGTCTGATATAGGTTTTTACCAGTTGTTTAATATTTGTTTTTTAATTCCAAGATATGAACAGTGTTTAATAGGAGATTATGGATGATTTTTATTTTCTTTATTCATATTATCTGGTGTTTAAAAAAAAATCTTTACAATAAACAAGTCACTTTTTTTTTTTTTTTTTTTGAGTTGGAGTCTCACTCTGTCGCCCAGACTGGAGTGCAGTGGCCGCTCCCAGCCACCGCAGCCTCGACCTGCTGGGCTCCGGCGATCCTTCCGCCTCAGCCTTCCAAGTAGCCGGAATTACAGGCGCGCACTACCACGCCTGGCTGATTTTTTGATTTATTGTGGAGATGAGGTCTCGCCTGCCCAGGCAGGTCTCGAACCCGCGGGCTCAGGCAATCCACTCACCTCAGCCTCCCAAAGGCGCGGGATTACAGGCTGAGCCACCAAGCCTGGCACAAGTCACTCTTATGCTAATAATAAGAGAGATATGTTTGCATTAAGGATTTAGAATTTTTTTCCAAGATAAAATATGTTGAGTTCATTGAAATGATTCATTATTCATCCCTCTCCCCAAAACTACAAACACACACAACATGCTATTTATTATTGAACAATTTTACTTGTAAATTCCAGGGATAATTTCAGAAATATTATGACTGAAAATGTAAATACATCATTGGCTCTGGTGTAAGTTTTGTCACAAGCCATTTTGCTATTCACCTGGGAAAGCTGAATGTTGTATAGTGAAATCACTCATCTTCAGGTAACTGTAATGTAAATAGAATATCCGGGGTGCATCTTGTTACAGAAACTTAGTTTTTGAGTGTTTCATATTTCAAAATAGGCATCATTGTCTGGTTAGCTGTCTGTATTTCTTACACTTTTAATTTTTTATTATGCACTTGTTGAAAGAGTTACATCATTTAAAATTTACCTTTAAGTATGCTGAAGATTACATTTTTATTCAAAGTAGTTAAAAATTGTTAAAATTTTTCTGATAGGTGCTCCCTGCCCCCTCCATACACATTTTTATTTGTATCACAGTGTAACTAAAAAAAATGGACTGTAATATGTGTAGGGTAGAGTTACCTCAAGAACAGATACATTTTATTCTAGGATGGCAGATTTTCAGTGTTCTTGTTACAGCCATATTATGATATACGCTACCTCACTAACCAGTCCTAATTGGAGACATTGCTAATTGTACATGGCCTAACATTCTTTTCTGCTGAATCAAGAAACATTCTTGGAATCCTTTTCAACATAGTGCTACTTCACACGACCACTGTCAATTAATAGGTGCAATGCTGGCCTTTAAATAGAATCTTCAGGCTATCAGATTATTTGCTTCCATCTGTGAAGGCCAGACACTATTCAGGCCACCCACTTTTCTTGTATTTTCTCCCATTCTGATCAGGGTATGAGTTAAGAAATGTCACACCCCTTTGTTCTTCATTATATTCCTCTCCTGCCTTATAGTAAGTTTTGCCCTGCCAAAGATCGTGTGCCTTTTGAGTCTTTTTTTTTTCATTGTATGTTCTTTTGAGATTCCTTGTATAATGTGTGTAAAAAGCACACAAGTTCTCTACAGTGCCTGTATACAGAAACTGTTCAGTAAACACTGTTATTACTATTCCCAAGTATTACCTATCTCCAAATCTCTCTCCTGAGTTTCTGGCCTTTTGGAGCTTCCTAACTACATGTTCTGTAGACACTTGAAATTAATTTTACCCAGGCAAGTTCTGTCAGAAATTTCAAGTACAGTTAACTTCATATTCTTCATTCCTAACTGATTTCTGGTGGTGTAGGCAAAATATGACACTTATCAGAGAGAAAAAGTATGCCAGTTCTTTAAGGGACAGTTTCTCTGGGCATTTAAGTCAGAAATTTCTTACAGTAAGGGATATTGAATGACACATAGATGTGGTTCTCAAAAAATGGTTTTATAACAGATGTGGATCTACATAAAATGTAACTTAGGTAAAATGATTCTGAGAGGTTAGGTTAACGTTTCTTTGTCCTATGTTGATCTAAGTATAGAATATAGATTACCTAGAGGAGGACAGTAGTCTCAACTAATTTCCCTAAGTTACAGTTTCTTTGGGTCAGTCATTCGGCAAAAACTGGTTAGCAGACGTTGTACTTCGAAGTAGCAGACTTCGATGAGGTTTTGGAGTGCTATCTTTATTGGTTTTCTCTATTGCTAATTAAAATTCATTACTTTATACATGCTTTAGAAATCAAATGAGAAGATGAACGTGTTGATATCCTATTATGAAAACGTGAAGACTCTTAACTAGCATCATCTAGACATAAGACTACTTCCTTTTCTCTGTGGAGGGAAACCTTAGTGATACCTACAGGCAAAGCCAGTGTATTTCCTCAGAAAGCAGCTTTGTATCCCCCTCCAGCAATTGAACAAGTCTTATCCTTGGGATAAACAAAGTTTCCCACCCTGAATGTAGTCCAAAGATAGTAACTCTCTTCAAGAACAGAGGAGCATTTTTAGGTTAACCAGTCATGAGAACACTGAAGTGTGACTTGAATAATACTCCTATGAAACTTAGCCAACTCATCAAGATTTCAGCATTTCTAATGAGTTTTCTAGAGTGATTAGTCCAATTTATACCTTTTCTATATATTAATATTCATGTATCTTATAAGTACTATATTGAACATTTTGAAGGGTTTATATTTATGAACTGTAAAGACCTGTTCCTTCTTAATGAGGCATTCAAAGCCACATGTTTTTGGTTTGGTAGGTTTTTTAAAAAATGTTCTTCCTCATTCAAAATGATATCCTTTTGTTGTTGTTTTTGTTGTGGATGTTGTTGATTTGTGAAACTTTGTATCACAAGCTTTCAAAATCATACCTCAAAAAAAAAAAAACAAAAACAAAAAACAAGTTGCTTAGTTAAGATCCCTGAAAATAATTGTGTACACTTTGTGTCATACAAACATCATCCTTTCTCCAAGAGAGTACAGAAGTTGATTTGCTCCTAGAGATGTCTAGCTAATATCTGCTGTGGGCTTCAAGGAGCTTAAAGATGAGTAAAGACAGGAGTAGAATAATAACGGGAGAAACTGGGAGTCCCAGTGAGCACAGGTCAACGGAATCTTCTACAGGACCTCCATTTGTTTTGTTGTGGAATTATGTTGTAACAAATACAATAATAGATTTCACAATTCCCGGGTATCTATTTTGGGGAGGAAACAACTCTAAAACTTAATCTCTGTGTAGAATTTAGGCCAGTGAAAATAAGTATTTTAGACCCCATTAGGTGAAATGGTAAGGTTGAATATATACATTTCCATGTCTTTTTTCTTCTGTTCCATAACTTTTTGGTGATGAGACTTTGTTTTAGCTGGAAGTTTAACTGTCTGAATGGGTTTTTCTTAGCGGTGTGTGGATAACTGAATAAAATTGAAGGTTAATTACTAGATCCCAGGACCAGAGAAGGCTAGGAAACAGCTATTATTTAAATCATAGGCTTATAGGGTGTGGTTGGTTTAAGGACTCCTGAAGCTCTTTCTGGGAGTCTGTTGAAATCAAAACTATTTTAATAGTTTCGCCTTTTTTACTTGAAATCTCACAGATACAAAGAGTTTTTCACAGGTTACCAGATGTGCAATGACATCGTTGCTCTGAGTGCTGATGGAATGTGTACATTAGTGTTCGTGTTTGAAACATTTTTCAGCTTTAATTTCTAATACAGTAAATATTGGCAAATATACTATATTTTTAAAAATGTGCCAGGGTTTCTCAATATATTTTAAGTGTATATAGAGCTTCTGAAACTAAAATGTTTGAGAACCGTTGGTGTAGATATTGTCTCCCATAAAAAGAATCCAGCATGTAGCTAGATACAGTATAATTGCAGAACCTGGAGTGGTTTGAGACTTAGCAGATACAATGTAGATGTTCAGAGTATTTAGACTGTATGGTAGAATGTGAAGAATCGCACACATAGGAACTTGCTCTGGCATGTGTGTCATTCTTTTTTTTTTTTTTTTTTTTGAGTTGGAGTCTTGCTCTGTCGCCCAGGCTGGAGGGCAGTGGCAAGTTCCGGGCCACCGCAGCCTCGACCCGCTGGGCTCCGGTGATCCTTCTGCCTCAGCCCTCCGAGTAGCTGGAACTACAGGCGTGAGCTACCATGCCCGGCTAATTTTTTGATTTATTGTAGAGATGAGGTCTTGCCAAGTTGCCCAGGTGGGTCACGAACCCACAGGCTCAGGCAATCCACTCACCTCAGCCTCCCAAAGGCGTGGGATTACAGGCTGAGCCACCAAACCTGGCTGCATGTGTGTAATTCTATTAACAACTTTTTATTAAGCTGCTACTGTGTTGCTGTCTAGTAACACAGTTGAGCAACAGTGCAAAATTCCAGCTACCAGAATTTATAATTTGGGAAGGTAAGGATCATTAAAATAAATTTAGAAAACAGTGAACATCTATAGTAATCACATGTTAAGCAGTATGGTATAAGAGCTCAGTAGCATGAACCAGACACGTCTATTATTACCATAACACCCATTCCCCTCTGCAGTAGTTGTCTTTATTGATGCCTTACCCTTTATTGATTACTTACTGTAATTAATATCCTAGGGGGAGGGGACTGTCTTATATGTATCTGTGTATCTCTCAGGAGCACCTTGGAAAATACTTTATACATTCTTAGTCCTTAGGAAACATGATTGAATTTGATAGGTCTTTATTCTATACGAAATTTGCATTGAGCACCTATTCTTAGCCATGCTGTGGAGGTAGGTATTGGGAGTTGGGAATGCATTAACAGGGTGGCTTTGAGAGATGAATACAGTTTGATTCTAAGAGAGGAGAAGGAGCTCAAGGCTAGGGAAGGCACAGGACACCAGAGTCCAGGGACTTGAATGAGCATTGCATACCCATAACAATGGAAAACATGTTAAGGCTCCCAGTTCAAACTTGTTACAAAGCAGAAATGGTGCAGATACATTCAAGGCACAATATCCAAGATTGCACTGTATTTTTCCTCATGTAACTAGACAGACTCTTAAAGTAAAAATCATAAAGAGCATTTTGATTCTTTCCTTATGGGAATTCACTGTAATCAGCTGAATCAATCTAACCTCTGTTGCTGTGAGACATTCTTTATCTTCTTTTTTTAAAAAAATTATAATGATAATTATATTGTTATCTGTTGCTTACCAGGGCCAGATACTGTTGTTCTAAACCAGGCATATCTGACCCACAGCCCATGGGCTGAATGTGGCCCAGGATAGCTAGTAATGCGGTCCCACAAAATCTTTTAACATCATGTGTTTTTTAGCATTTATTTTCTTTGTGACCCCATGCGTAGTTCTGTTTTTCAAGTTCACAGACATACCTTATTCATGACATCACTTTTTGGCAGCACATACATCTGTGAGCAGCTGTTTTCATTTATGAAGCACATGAAGAACAAAAATTTCTGATGAGCACCTTGAGAATGCACTAAGAATTGCGACCACTTCCATTGAACCAGACATTGATAGATTAGGTTTTCCACTAGTTTTATATTGTTCTCATTTTTCTAAACTTTATATAAAAGTTTTTTTTAAATAAAAGAAGTTTTATTGTGTATGTACACTAACTATATGACATAATTTATGTGTGGCCCAAGACAATTCCTTTTTACTTGATGGAGCCCAGGGAAGCCAAAAGGTGGACACACCTGCTCTAAACTTTTTGTTTCTTTCCATGATGTACTACTGTTTTCTGCATTTTAAGATAAGGAAGTGAAACTCCAGCAGGAAAGACCGACTTAAACTACTTTATCAATTGTGGTGGAGTAAGAATTCAAACCCAGTCAGTTTGACTCTGAGCCTGTTCTCTTACCACTTGTCCTGTTGTGCCTCTCCCCGTGGTATGTTCTATCAAGGTTGACTGTTCCACAATGTAGAAGCATGAATGGGACGTCTCAGATGATGAGGCTGAATGTTTAGTTACAAGAAACTTATTTGTCAATCCCTATAAAACTTTTAAAAATTAAATGCATTGGAACATACGTCCTCTATTGTTTCTGTTTAAAAAAATTCTGAGCTATATAATATGAAACTGATTTCATCACAGGTTCCTAGACTGCCATAAAATGGCTACATGTTTATGAGATTTTGACGTTTTAATATTTTTCTTAGTTTTGTTTTGGGTCTCTTCACTAGTATAACAAGTTTGTCATTAATAAGCTTATGTTTCTGCAAAGTGCTTTGAACTTTCTCTTTTAAAAATGCTCACTAAAGTACAGATTATTTTCAATGGGAAATATAATTCTAGTGTTTGTTACTCCATGTTATGCTCAAAATAAAAATCCAATTTGACCCAAAGAGAGTAGTGAAAAGAATATGTGCAAGTGTGTCCTAAGATGGAAAGTAAGACAGTCCTCAGTTAACTAAGAATGACCTCATTCTTCCCTTGTGGATAAGGATCAGTTCTTAGAAGTGACTTTTTTTCCTTTCAGAGAGCTTAAGTATCAATTTATCTTTATTATGAAAATATATGTAATAGTTTTGTGTGCCACCTCTGCTATACTGGCTTTGCTCATTTTCTATATATTTAACTTTTGTTGAAATGCATGATCTAGGCCGGGCTCGGTGGCTCAATCCCAGCACTTTGGAAGGTGAGGTGAGTGGATTGCCTAAGCCCGAGGGTTTGAGACCCGCATGGGCAACTTGGTGAGACCTCATCTCTACAATAAATCAAAAATTAGCCAGGTGTGGTAGCACGTGCCTGTAGTTCTAGCTACTCGGAAGGCTGAAGCGGAAGGATCACTGGCGCCCAGCAGGTCCAGGCTGCGGTGGCTGGGAGCGTGCCACTGCACTCCAGTCTGGGCGACAGAGTGAGACTCCAATTCAAAAAGTAAAATAAAATAAACTAAAATAAATAAATGCACGGTCTAGTTATTAAGATTCTTATATTTCATATAATAAGTAATAAATTGGCTGATTTTAAAATTAATTTTAATTGGATGTATGGGGAAATTATTGAATCTTGTAATGACCATTTCAGGATTTGGTGTACCATTCTCTCTATTCAGGCATATATTTGAAAAATTTTCCCTACAAAACACACTGCCTAGTATAAAAGTAGTTTTAGAAATTTGTTTGTTGTTGGGGACACATGACAACACAAAGGATCTGGCCCACTACTTGGGAAGTGAGAGCCAGTTAGAAGCCCAAACTTCACCTGCATGCAGCCTACTTATGTAGTCAATACTTACCTGTACCCCACAACTCTATAATAAGTAAATAAATTACAAAAAAATTTGTTTGTAATAACAATAGTCATAATTATCAATAAAATCAAACTTTTCTTTCTCTTGTTGGCTACTGTGGGATGTTTGTGAATGTTCCTCAGCTTATACAATTGCTTCTCACATATAAAAAGCAAACAAAACCATTGCAGTCTGTTATTTTTGCCTTCATTTTGTATCAGGTTGGAAGTATTAGTAAAATTTTGTATATTTTAAGATATGCATAACATTTTTTTCTTTACCTCGTAACCCTGTTTCCTTCCTTGTTTATCTTTCTCTAGAGGTATATTGCCATTGGAGAACTGGGGAAAGCTACTGATACACTAGATTCTACAGGGAAAGTAACAGAAGAAAAACCTTACGGTATGAAGTTCATCTAATGCAGTTCTTTTGAACATTTAGAGAAAGTTTCTGTGCAAGCAGTGTTTTAAAATAAATCTCTTACCTGATATTATCCGTGATTTTAGTTCTCAGTACATTTCTTTAGGTTAAGGAGATTAAAAATTATTTATCACACTGTTGTTTATTTGGTATGAGTTTATGAATAAAGATTTATTGTGATTGCTTCTTTTCCTGTAATTAATTTTTTAATGTTCAGAATTAGTCTTCCAAATAACTCTCTTGCCAAAAACATTTATAGCTAGGATTTAGGTTATTTTCCCTAGTAAATGAGAAACAAAGCAGAGATATTCCCTTATTAGATTTTACCTTCTTGCCATTAAAAAAAAAAAAAAAATTACTTGTCCGCTGTTGAAATAAATGCCCCAGGTTTAGTACTTTAACATTAATCATATTTCTGTGCTTTCAGAATACATTAAAAGATGACAGAGAGAAAAAGCTATTTTTCTGTAAGAAAAGTGGAACTCACTGGGATCCACCTTAATTTTTCTACCATTCTTTTCTTCACTACTTTAAGAAAGGATAGATAAATGAAATGGTCTCCTAGCAACTTGCACAGTGCTTATGCTATTTATAATGCAGCAGTTGCAGTTTTATAAGTCAGTTCACTTGTATTAATATGTCACCAATTGTGAATTATTTGTAGATTTTCTATTTTTTTCTTCTGCTTAATGTTCTTTCTCTTAATGTAGTTGTAGTCAGTCCAGCATCTAGCCTCCTATATTTTTGTGTTGAATATCCTTATTATATATTACATATTGCCCCAATAGTGAGACCAACCTTTTTCTTGTTCGTAATAGCTTCATTTATTCTGTTAATGTTTATATGTAGCTTAGTATCTTGCTTGATTAATCAAGAAACATAATGAAAAGAAAAATCACTGATATATTTCAAATCTTTTCAAAAATAGATGTTGAATTATTATTGGAATTATTGTTATTATTAGCAAATAATTGCAGACCCTCACTTACTGGACACTCAGCTATAACCATCAACCAGAAGGTTTTTAAGATTAAAGAGGGCAGCCCCTTGGGTCAGGTCCTCTCCCACTGTGGGAGCTTTTCTGTCCTCTCAATAAATCTTGCTTTCTAAAAAAAAAAAAGATTAAAGAGACATTGGGCAATAGAAGGATACCAGACATTTCCAGAGTATATGAAGGTATACTCTCATATGTATATAATTAAGTCTCTTATGTCTCTATCTCCATTTGCCTAAGCGTTAACAAGGAGAATAATTGATAATCAGAATAATGATCCCAAGGTCATACAATTTAGGATGGGATGCAGCTTGGTGATGTATAAAGAGCATTAGGGTAAGCAAACCTGGGTTTAGTTTCTAGCTCTGCCCTTTTCTAGCTGTGTACATTTGAAATTTTACTTATCTCTATGTTTCAGTTTTTTTATCTCCAAAATTATGATTATGATACCTATCTCACAGTGTTATTATGAGGACTGATTGGAAGATAATGAATATGGAAGTCTATAGGCAAGTCATGAGGCTCTTATGATAGTCCTGGCAGAGATTAGAATAATGGTTCAGAAGTAAAGTTGGTGAGACTTTTGATTATTGATTGATTGCCTGGGGATAGTAAGGAAGTTGTACCATGACCTCGGTTTTTGGGTTTTAAAGTTGGTTACATGACAGTGCAATTCATTGATTAGGGGATACTAGGACCGGGGTGATAAAAATACTTAAACATATCCTTTCTTCCTGCCTTTCAGCATTTTGGAATTTTAAAAAACTACTCGGAATATGGTCATTTGTAGCCTTATTTCCTTTTCAGATAGCTCAGTCTGCTAACATCATCTCATTACAATGCTGTAATAAGTTACTTAGAGAAACTCAGTGACTTTCTTCAGGCTGTTAATAGGAGTGCTTCTGTTGGATAGTATTTGTAGTCCCAGAAAATGAGAGTTCAGAGAATTTTGCTGACTGGCATGATTGCTGTGTGCTTTCAGTTAATCAGAAAATCTTTATCAACTGTCTAAGTTGCTATGGCAGGTACCAAGGGGAAGATAAATAAGTGTAAGACTTAGCTTGTGTCTTTAAGAACTTATTGTTGCGGCAACCCTCTTTCAGGTCCCCTCCTGCTCTAGGAGCTTTTCTGTCTTAGTAAACGCCTGCTTTTTTTTTTTTTTTAAAGAACTTATTGTCTAAAGGAGAACTTCGACTTATGTTTTCAACCCTCTGTGACCTAATACTGAGACCTACGGCCAATATTTTATAATGCTTTCTTTACTATCTTATATAAAATGTAAAGATACTCCAGCCTTCCTACATTTTTTTTTTAAAAAATCAATATAATGCAGTAAATGGAATAGAAAGAAGAAATAAAAGCAATTTATAATAAAATAAAATAGGTGTTAACATGTAAATGCATGAATATGACCCCACTAAAAGTCATAATGAAGTAGTCAGATGTTCACACTTATACATAAATCACTGTGAATGCCACAAGTTCAAATGTAAACTGATAGAGGAAATGTGTTGTATTAATAACTCAGTACTGGCAAATTCAGTGTCTGTAAAACTGAGCGAAAAATACTTTGTGTTTGATTGTACAATGTAGTTAAGTTCTAGCCACAGGTAGTTATAAACAGGCTTCAGCAGGCTTCAGACCTACATGACTATCAGGCAGCCATCCAGAAGTCAGGCAGTACACAAAGCATTTCTTCATTGTTTTCCACAATCCTACCAGTCCCAGGACATCTCTAGCATCCCTGATTGTCCTGCAGATGCTTCCCTGCCCCACTCCCACCCCCTGTCATTATAACAACCAAAAACACAGTACTTCATTGACCTGTCAAGGTCAACTGATTTTTAGATAAAGTAACTAAAGCAGTATGCAGTTAATGGCAGATGAATGTTCTTTTTTGTTTGTTTGTTTTTGAGTTGTAGTCTCACTCTGTTGCCCAAGCTGGAGTGCAGTGGCACGCTCATGGCCACAGCAGCCTCAACCTGCTGTCTCCAGTGATCCTTCTGCCTCAGCCTTCCGAGTAGTTGGAACTACAGGCATGTGCTACCATGCCCGGCTAATTTTTGATTTATTGTAGAGACAAGGTCTCACCAAGTCACCCAGGCTGGTCTCGAACCCACAGACTCAGGCAGTCCACTCACCTCAGTCTCCCAAAGTGCTGGGATTACAGGCTGAGTAAGTCATTTTGTCCTACCTAGACAAATACTATTTTTAACTGTTGTTTCAAATAGCTGAAGAAAATGTGTCTCTGGCTTAGTAGATACAAAGTGCAAAACAAACAACAAAGTGCAAAACATATCCCATCGCTATCATTATATGCTCTGTTATTCTTAAATGGCATTTTCTACTATTTACAAACTGTATTTTTGAGTCTTGACCCCTTAAGCAATGGGGCTGAAATCATGTCTCTTTTGGTGCTCACGTGTAGTTCTGGTGTGATATATGGTATGTAGAATAACACAGTGTATGGATAAATATGGCAGACAATAGAGGCATTCTCAGAGCAGATGACTGCAGATAAGTCCCAGGAAAGGTCAAGCATCTTCCTGCCTTCGGCTGTTCTTTTCTCATCCATGTCTAGATACTAAGTTTCCAGTACTGTGCTGTGTCTCTGAGGACACACAACTTCAGTGTACTCATTTTTTCCCCACTGAGCTCAGGACACTAGGGCCCTAGCTTCCCAGGCTAGATGTGGGCCAAGCTTTTGGGAAGGCCTAACTTCTGTAATGGAAATAGTTTTTTCTCTCCCTCCTGTTCCTTACTGTGGCGCAGGATGTGTAAAAGAAACACAGAATCTCATGCTAATCCTCTGTTCTAAACACTACTGCCCCTTAGTCCTGAGACAGGATGTTACTGGTTCTTCTCAAATGGATGCAGCTGATGTGTCTAACGGGAGTGGCTGTTCTTGGATTGTATGGTGATTGGCAGCCCACATTTCAGAGACTCATCCTGGAAGAAACTGAAGGGTGAATTGGGTCTCAAATTGTGATTTAAACCAGTAAGGTACATGATATAGTAGGGCTAGTATATAGCTGGGTGTCAATCTTCTTAAGGTGCTGTTTGTATTTAGACTTTTTAAAATTATAAAATATTACACAAAAGTGAATAATAAATTTATAACTCAATGAATTATCACAAGGCAAACATCTGTGCAGCTAGCTACCACCCTAGTCAAGAAATAGAAAATTCCTAGAAACCACCCTTGTGTCCAATCTCAATCACTATCCCATCCTTCTTTTCCAAAGATAACGACTAACCCAATACTATGGTGATAGTTCCAAAACTAAGGTATAGTTTTGCCTGTTTTTGAACTTTGTATAAATTGGAATTAAGCAGTATGTACCCTATTGTGTCTAAATTTTCCCCTTATTATATACATGAGATTCATCCATGTTACATGTATCAGAGTATTTTGAACTTTTTTTTATAACTGTGTAGTATGCCACCGTGTAAAATATCACTACACACACACACACACACACACACACACACACACACACTCTCTCTCTCTCTCTCTCTCTCTCTCTCTCTTTTCCTCTTTTGTTGATAGACATTTAGGTTGCTTCCATCTGGGGCTTTATGAATAAAGTGCTATGTATATATTTTATATGTCTTTTGGTAGACACATGTACTCATTTCTCTTGGGTATTAACCCAAGTGGAATATAGATCAAGTGTACATATATGTCATAAATAAGACCCTAGGTTTTTGAGTAGGTGTATATTTAACTGTACTGGACATTATCAGACAGTTTTGAAAGTGGTTATATAATTTGCATTTCCACTAACAACGTGTAAGAGTTCTACTTGCTCCACATCTTTAGCAATCCCTGGTATTAACAGTGTTTTTAATTTTGACCATTTTGGTGAGTGTGCAGTGGTATTACATGTGGTTTTAATTTAACTACTAATGAGATTCAATACTTTATCCTGTGTTTTTAGCTCCATTAGCTGTCTTCTTTTGTGTAGTGTCTGTTCAGGTCTCTTGC